ACAATTACATTTACTTCTTAATTGAATGACTTCTATGGTAAAATTTGAGTGATTTTTTTAACTCTGTCTGAAAAAGCAACAAAACAAAATGTTAGAATTATTCAGAAATCCTTTTTCGATTTAGCCATAACTGTATTTTTCCTACTCTGTACCATGAGAACTCAGGATTAACCTTCTATTTACTCTGTAGTCTAAAGACTAGACTACGGACTCGACTGTAGATTAGACTAGATTATTGACTAGACTATACATACATTAGACTATAGACTACACTATAGACTACAGACTAGACTATAGACTAGACTATAGACTAGACTATAGACTAGACTATAGACTAGACTATAGACTAGACTATAGACTAGACTATAGACTAGACTATAGACTAGACTATAGACTAGACTATAGACTAGACTATAGACTAGACTATAGACTAGACTATAGACTAGACTATAGACTAGACTATAGACTAGACTATAGACTAGACTATAGACTAGACTATAGACTAGACTATAGACTAGACCATAGACTAGACTATAGACTAGACTATAGACTAGACTATAGACTAGACTATAACCAGACTATAGACTAGACTAAATACTAGGCTATGGACTAGACTACAGACTTGACTAGACTAGACTATAGACTACTAGACTAGACTATAGACTAGACTATAGACTAGACTATAGACTGGACTATAGACTTTACTATAGACTGGACTATAGACTATAGACTAGACCATAGACTAGACTATAGACTATAGACTAGACCATAGACTAGACTATAGACTAGACTATAGACTAGACTATAGACTAGACTATAGACTAGACCATAGACTAGACTATAGACTAGACTATAGACTAGACTATAGACTAGACTATAGACTAGACTATAGACTAGACTATAGACTAGACTATAGACTAGACTATAGACTAGACTATAGACTAGACTATAGACTAGACTATAGACTAGACTATAGACTAGACTATAGACTAGACTATAGACTAGACTATAGACTAGACTATAGACTAGACTATAGACTAGACTATAGACTAGACTATAGACTAGACTATAGACTAGACTATAGACTAGACTATAGACTAGACTATAGACTAGACTATAGACTAGACTATAGACTAGACTATAGACTAGACTATAACCAGACTATAGACTAGACTACAGACTAGGCTATGGACTAGACTACAGACTTGACTATAGACTAGACTATAGACTAGACTATAGACTAGACTATAGACTAGACTATAGACTAGACTATAGACTGGACTATAGACTAGACTATAGACTGGACTATAGACTATAGACTAGACCATAGACTAGACTATAGACTAGACTATAGACTAGACTATAGACTAGACTATAGACTAGACTATAGACTAGACTATAGACTAGACTATAGACTAGACTATAGACTAGACTATAGACTAGACTATAGACTAGACTGTAGACTAGACTATAGACTAGACTATAGACTAGACTATAGACTAGACTATAGACTAGACTATAGACTAGACTATAGACTAGACTATAGACTAGACTATAGACTAGACTATAGACTAGACTATAGACTAGACTATAGACTAGACTATAGACTAGACTATAGACTAGACTATAGACTAGACTATAGACTAGACTATAGACTAGACTATAGACTAGACTATAGACTAGACTATAGACTAGACTATAGACTAGACTATAGACTAGACTATAGACTAGACTATAGACTAGACTATAGACTAGACTAGACTATAGACTAGACTATAGACTAGACTAGACTATAGACTAGACTATAGACTAGACTATAGACTAGACTATAGACTAGACTATAGACTAGACTATAGACTAGACTATAGACTAGACTATAGACTAGACTATAGACTAGACTATAGACTAGACTATAGACTAGACTATAGACTAGACTATAGATTAGACTATAGATTAGACTATAGACTAGACTATAGACTAGAATATAGACTAGACTATAGACTAGACTATAGACTAGACTATAGACTAGACTATAGACTAGACTAGACTATAGACTAGACTATAGACTAGAATATAGACTAGACTATAGACTAGACTATAGACTAGACTATAGACTAGACTATAGACTAGACTATAGACTAGACTATAGACTAGACTAGACTAGACTAGACTAGACTATAGACTAGACTAGACTATAGACTAGACTATAGACTAGACTATAGACTAGACTATAGACTAGACTATAGACTAGACTATAGACTAGACTATAGACTAGACTATAGACTAGACTATAGACTAGACTATAGACTAGACTATAGACTAGACTATAGACTAGACTATAGACTAGACTATAGACTAGACTATAGACTAGACTATAGACTAGACTATAGACTAGACTATAGACTAGACTATAGACTAGACTATAGACTAGACTATAGACTAGACTATAGACTAGACTATAGACTAGACTATAGACTAGACTATAGACTAGACTATAGACTAGACTATAGACTAGACTATAGACTAGACTATAGACTAGACTATAGACTAGACTATAGACTAGACTATAGACTAGACTATAGACTGGACTATAGACTAGACTATAGACTAGACTATAGACTAGACTATAGACTAGACTATAGACTAGACTAGACTATAGACTAGAACTATAGACTAGACTATAACTAGACTAGACTAGACTATAGACTAGACTATAGACTAGACTATAGACTAGACTATAGACTAGACTATAGACTAGACTATAGACTAGACTATAGACTAGACTATAGACTAGACTATAGACTAGACTATAGACTAGACTATAGACTAGACTAGACTAGACTATAGACTAGACTATAGACTAGACTATAGACTAGACTATAGACTAGACTATAGACTAGACTATAGACTAGACTATAGACTAGACTATAGACTAGACTATAGACTAGACTATAGACTAGACTATAGACTAGACTATAGACTAGACTATAGACTAGACTATAGACTAGACTAGACTAGACTATAGACTAGACTATAGACTAGACTATAGACTAGACTATAGACTAGACTAAGACTAGACTAGACTATTAGACTAGACTATAGACTAGACTATAGACTAGACTATAGACTAGACTATAGACTAGACTATAGACTAGACTATAGACTAGACTATAGACTAGACTATAGACTAGACTATAGACTAGACTATAGACTAGACTATAGACTAGACTATAGACTAGACTATAGACTAGACTATAGACTAGACTATAGACTAGACTATAGACTGGACTATAGACTAGACTATAGACTAGACTATAGACTAGACTATAGACTAGACTATAGACTAGACTGTAGACTAGGCTATAGACTAGACTATAGACTAGACTATAGACTAGACTATAGACTAGACTATAGACTAGACTATAGACTAGACTATAGACTAGACTATAGACTAGACTATAGACTAGACTATAGACTAGACTATAGACTAGACTATAGACTAGACTATAGACTAGACTATAGACTAGACTATAGACTAGACTATAGACTAGACTATAGACTAGACTATAGACTAGACTATAGACTAGACTATAGACTAGACTATAGACTAGACTATAGACTAGACTATAGACTAGACTATAGACTAGACTATAGACTAGACTATAGACTAGACTATAGACTAGACTATAGACTAGACTATAGACTAGACTATAGACTAGACTATAGACTAGACTATAGACTAGACTATAGACTAGACTATAGACTAGACTATAGATTAGACTATAGATTAGACTATAGACTAGACTATAGACTAGAATATAGACTAGAATATAGACTAGACTATAGACTAGAATATAGACTAGACTATAGACTAGACTATAGACTACACTATAGACTAGACTATAGATTAGACTATAGACTAGACTATAGACTAGACTATAGATTAGACTATAGATTAGGCTATAGATTAGACTAGACTATAGACTAGACTATAGACTAGACTATAGACTAGATTATAGACTAGACTATAGACTAGACTATAGACTAGACTATAGACTAGACTATAGCCTAGACTATAGATTAGACTATAGACTAGACTATAGATTAGACTATAGACTAGACTATAGACTATACTATACTAGACTATATACTAGAATAGAATCTAGACTATAGACTGAGTCTAGCCTATATACTATTAGAAAAAGTACTAAAAATATCATAACCTACCACGAATTATTCTGACGTAAAAAAGTACTGTAGTACTGAATTGTTGTTCAATTTTGTTCTCAACAGAAATTTAACTCAACAAGTTTTGCTATTGATAAAATTGATATTGATCTCTTTTAACATTCTCTTTAACGCAAATAACTACCTATTACGTTAATGTTTGAAGAAAAACGCCGTAACAAACATACGTTGTTAAAGCATACAAAATGTCGATTTATGCTTACGATTCATTCATTCATACTACTCTTTTTATTATAGTTTTTTTGTACTCTTACGATAATTCTTTAACCGATACAAAATTTCAGTTTTTTTTCTAAAGCTTATTAAACATATATGGTTGGTGTATGTAAAGAAAGAAACAAAACAAAATAAAGAAAACCATTAACAGCAGCAATAACATGGTGGAGAGCTAAAAACAAAACAGAAAAAATAAAATATACAAATTGTTTATATTTATTTTTATACAATATTGGCCGCATTAAGCGACGACTAAAAAGCAAATAACCAGACACTATAAGAGAAACAACAGAAATTTTTATTTAGTCTTTCCATAACATACGGCGCGTTAACATTAAAAACGTTAGAAAATTAAAAACGAAACCAAAATAAGGAGAAACAAAAAGAAAATTTTAATTATTCGAAAAAAAAAAGAATTTAATAAAAAGTTTAAAAAAATTAAATAAAAAGGAAATGTTTTTATAAAAATTTTTAAAGAAAAATTAAAAAAAAAGACTTTTTCAAAAATTAAAAAAAAAAAATTAAAATTTTTTTCTAATAAAAAATAACAAAGATTTATTTACATTTTGTGTTTTGTGCAAAAAGTTTATTGTTGCTAAAAATTCTTAATAAAAAAGAAAGAAAACAAAAAAATATCTAAAAAGGTTCGTTGTTATCTTTATTTTAATAAATATTTGTTTAAACGTTAAAATCAATATAAAAATAAATAAATAATATTTATTTTCAAATTTGTTAATGTGCAATGATGCATGCCAGACATTGTGCCTTATCTTTTTTCAATTAAAAATAAAATTAAATTAATAAAAACTATAACATATGCTTAAGTTTAGTTGAACAAAAAAAAATTAATAAATATTATTAATTCTCAGTTACTCGTGCATTACTTGTTTGAAATGTTTTAAAAACTTGAAATAACAGAAGAAAAAAAAAACAACCAAATATAGGCCAATTGTGTTCATGTTGTGAATGTCAATGACTTCTAGAGAGAAGAACGACTGCATCTTTATTTGTGTTTTCAGCTGCGTTGTAGAATTGTGTGTATCGCAACAGACAAAGTCGGGTAACAAAAGAATTGGAAAAATTTTATTGAATTCCATTTGTCTGAAGTCGAGAAAATGTGCATTTTAAAAACTTTCTTAGGGGAAAACGTTTTTTTTCTGAAGTCTAGCAAAGTGTGAAAGTATTAAATATTTCGTGGGTTTGTTTTTAAACAAAGTGGTAATAAAAATGAATTTTTAAGCTAAACTACCGATTCGATTTCTAAAATTTATATGAAGAAATTGTGGAGAAGAAGCTAAGCTTTTAAAAGCTATAGTTTTTTCGAGGTTCAGAATCGATTTTTGGAATTATAACTGGAGTTTCTAAACAGCTGGACCGATCGGGGTAAATTTTTACATAAGAGTTTTACAGTTGCAACTGAAAGCCGACTTTTGGCAATTTAGTAAAATCAAGTTTCTATTTAAAAACAAAAGATTTTTTCTATATTTTTATTAATAACTTTTCGAAATTTTTTTACTTTTCCGATTTCTTTCTACTCTTTCGACTTCCATTTACTTTTATTTACAAAATATTCTATAGTTTAAACAAAAAATCGACTTTTTCCAATTTACGAAAAGTCGAGTTTTCAACTTTTCAATATTTTTGAATATTAACTTTTCGACAAAATCGATTATTCGCCTCTTTTTTTCCAAGATAGTTGACTTCGACTTTTTCTATAAAAAGATAATTCGAAAGTCGATTAAAAGAAACCTACCAAGGGCGACGCTATGGGAACAGGGAACTTTGATATGTAAAGTTTCATTTTTGCTTTACGTCGGATTTAGATTTTTACAGAACCCTACCCTCCAAAGGATTTAAAAACGACTTTTCGAAATTTTCCGATTTTTTCACACTATTTATTACTTTTATTTGCAAAGTCAATTCTTTGTCGACTTTATAGGCAAAGGATTGTTTGAAAGTCGATTAATAGAGCCCTACTTACCAGAAGTGACGTTGTAGGAATTGAAACTGAGTCAATTTCTATATGTAACATGACATTTTTTTCTTAGTCTCCGATTTCGTTCCTTATAGTCTATATTTTAAACAAAAAGTCGAGTTTTTGTAGATTATAAAAAGTCGACTTTGTTAAAACAAAATATTTCCTTCAAATAGAATATTTTTAATAACGACTTTTCGATTCTTTTCGACATCTTTTTTACTTTTATATACAAAATCTATTTGATTTGAATTTTATGTTCAAGATAGACGATTTATCGACATTGTTAGAACAAAATAGTCGACATTTCTCTGCAAAAAGTCGATTGTTTGAAAGTAGATTTGAATTGAAGTTAAAATGCAACGTTGCATTTATATTGCTCCACATCCGAGTTTGGTCTCTATAGTTGTGGTGGCTGGATCTAGGGCAAGTTCGATATCTAACATGCCAATTTTTGCTTCGCATTCGAGCTAAATTTTTATATTCTATAGTTGATACAAAAAGTCGACTTTTAGCAATTTGTGAAAAGTTGATTTTTCGACCATGTTCGTCCGATTTTTTTTTTATTTCATCGATTTTATGACTTCTGTCGATTTCTCTTTACTTTCGTTTTCGACTTTTTTCTTGCAAAATTATCGATTTATTGACATTGTTATGACAAATTGGAGGTTTTTTCGAAAATTTTTCACATAAAACGTTCCTCCCCGACGGCAACGCTATGCTTCTCATCCGATTTAGATATGTATATTGTAAATTTGTCGGTATTTTGCAATAAATATGAAAATTTTTAAACTATGTCCGTCCGTACTAAAAAATTGGGAGTTTTCAAATTTTAGAATTGAAAAATATAGATTTTTTGCATTTTGTTGGGCAAAAAGTTGCCTTATTACTTATTTTCTAAAAGTTCTCGAATAGATTTTTGAAAAACAAACTGTTTGTGATATTTACAAATCTTTAAAATTCTGAAAAAAATTTTAGAACAAATTGCCTATTTTTTTAAATATATTAAAATATTTTTATAAATTATCAATTTAGTATTGAACTTTTTAAACCCATCTTAAAAATTTCGAGGTGTATTGAATTTGCCATTCCGTTTGTAAAACATTTAAATATCGCACATAGACCCATATATTCTGGGCCTTTGTAAAATTCTAAAAGAATTTAGACATGTTGGAGGCACGAGAGGACCTAGATTTACAGACCCTACCCTCCAATTAACATCTTTTACAGAATAAGCAATTATTTTTAATAAATCGTTTAAAGATTATGGTATTTAGATTAAATTCGACAAGAAATTAATGAGACTTTCAAATTCTGTAGAGTTTGGACTCGAGTCCCAATATAATTCTTAAATTATCGGCATATATAAATATATGATATATAAAGCAACATTCCGAATTGAATATTTGGAAAAATATTTTGATATAGTGAGTATATTGGAGTCGTCATAGCCAAATATATTACTTTTAATTGTTAAATTTAATTTGTTTTTCGTTTCTTGGACTGTGTGTCATTATTTATAATTGACAATTTCGAATGGAATATTTTGAAAGCTAGACAAATTTAATTATATGTTGATAATTTATTTAGAAAGAAATTTGTATTTGAAATTATGCAGAAAGAAAAAGTATGTCTGCAGGTGACAAAAAGAAACAAAATAAAAATATTTTCAAATGCAATCTAATCGACAGGAACATATAATTTAGGTTCTTCAAGAATTTTTAAATTAACCTTAAATATAGTCAGCAAATCCATACATATTGTCTTCACTACATAAAAGTGATTTAATAATAACTTCTTAATAATGTGAGAGAAAAATATTAATTTAACATCTTACTCGCAAAGCATTCTATTCTATTTATTTACTTTAACACTTACAAGTAAGCAATGAAATCATGACTTGTAAAAGTTTGTGATATGTGCTTTCCTTTAATTACATCAATAAAAACAATAAAAACTTTTGCTGGGACAATATTATGAATTTTGAAATTTATTCTGCTTTTACGTTTTTTTACAGAATTTATAAATCTTTGCAATTCATTGCATTAAATACTATATAGTCATTTTGGTAATTATTTTATTTATTTTTAATTAAATGATTCATTACTATTTTTAGTGAAATGAAAAAATAAACTCTTATTTAATTAAAATTTTTATTCTATCACTCCCATACCTAAAATGTAGTGATGTGCACGTTCTTAATAAGTGCGAGTTATCGACGTCACTTTAATCAGCTGTTTCCGTCACAATCGAACATTGCGACATTATTTGAGGTGTGTTTTATTTTTAAAAGAAAAATACAACAATACATACAAATGTTTATAGAATATTAATTTAAATTTTGCATTTTGTAAACACATAAAACAATAATGCAGTTAGAATTGTTTTGTTACGGAAAAATTTTATTGTATTAAAAACAAGGCATAAAAGTCAAAGTATTTTGAAATATCGTCTCATGAAAATTTAAAAGCCGGACTGTAGTCTTTACTAGGGACCACTTGACTATAGACCAGATTATAGCCTTTACAATACACCAGACTATCGATCACACTATAGTCTTAACTATGGACCAGACTATAGTCTTGACTATAAACCGGACTATAGTCTTGACTATAGAGCAGTCTATAGTCTTGACTATTTATCAGTTTATAGTACTGAATATAGATCAGTCTATAGTATAGACTATAGTTCAGTTATGATCAGTCTGTAGTCCTGACTATACGAGTAGATCAGTTTGTAGTCTTGACTATAGATCAGTTTGTGATCTTGACTAAAGATCAGTCTATAGGCTTCACTGTAAATCAGTTTGTAGTCTTGACTATAGATCAGTCTTGCTACAGATCAGTCTATAGTCTTGACTATAAATCAGTCTATAGTCTTGACTATAGATCAGGCTATTGTCTTGACTATAGATCAGATTGTAGTCTAGACTATAGACTTATCTATAAGATATACTTATCTATAGATAAGTCTGTAGTCTAGACTATAGATAAGTCTATAGTCTAGACTATAGATAAGTCTATAGTCTAGACTATAGATAATCTATAGTCTTGGACTATAGATCAGTCTATAGTCCTTACTATAGATCAGTCTATAGTCTTGACTATAGATCAGTCTATAGTCTTGACTATAGATCAGTCTATAGTCTTGACTATAGATCAGTCTATAGTCTTGACTATAGATCAGTCTATAGTCCTTGACTATAGATCAGTCTATAGTCTTGACTATAGATCAGTCTATAGTCTTGACTATAGATCAGTCTATAGTCTTGACTATAGATCAGTCTATAGTCTTGACTATAGATCAGTCTATAGTCTTGACTATAGATCAGTCTATAGTCTTGACTATAGATCAGTCTATAGTCTTGACTATAGATCAGTCTATAGTCTGGACTATAGATCAGTCTATAGTCTAGACTATAGATCAGTCTATAGTCTAGACTATAGATCAGTCTATAGTCTAGACTATAGATCAGTCTATAGTCTAGACTATAGATCGGTCTATAGTCTAGACTATAGATCAGTCTATAGTCTAGACTATAGATCAGTCTATAGTCTAGACTATAGATCAGTCTATAGTCTTGCTATAGATCAGTCTATAGTCTTGCAATAGATCAGTCTGTGATCTTGACTATAGATCAGTCTATAGCCTTGACTATAGATCAGTCTA